GATTTATAAAAGAGTTATGGTAATTTCATAGTATATAAATGCATTCCTAAAGATTGGTTGATGGAAGTTATATATGAAAATTGAATCCACCTAACCTTTCTGGGTTGGCGGCCCAGAGGGAAAGGGAGGAGCAGGGAAATGTATGCACGCATATGGGCACGGTAGCAGCACTAGCGCTTGCACATAAGCACAAGCGGGCCGCACACACCTATGGTGGCACTGGTGGCATTACTGGCGCACTTACGTGGCGGCACTAGAGTGGGTACGGAGGGTGCGTGCACACATGTGCGCAGTTGCCAGCCATTCCCATGGCCTGGTGGCCAACAGGCCATGGACTGGCACTGGGCCATAGCCCACAGGTTAGGGACCCCTGATCTATATTAGCTTAAGGCAGTGGTGGTGAACCTCTGTGGGCATGTGCGCTGTCGCCCCAGCCCTGTCTCCCTCCACGGCCCCCTCCTCACCAGTAGCCCCCCAGAGGAGAGTCGCCCCCAGGCGCGGCCCATGCGGAGCAGCACAGCCAAGGACACGGCAGCCGGACAACGGGGACAAGACTCTGCCCTCACGCCCTGTCACATGCAGTTGATGCTGTGGGGCATGGGCAGAGGGTGTGGCCGCCATGGCACTGCTAGGCCCCTGGGTGATCTGCTGCGGGCCATGGAGGCGGTGGGTGGCCCTGCGGGCAGGTGGGCCAGGGCAGAGTGTGGGCGGAGCAGGGGGTGGGGATGGGCTAGGGGGGCGGAACAGGGATGGGACAGGGGGCAGTACAATTTTTGGGCACTCGTTCTCTAAAAGGTTCGCCATCAATGGCTTAAAGCCTGTCTCCAACGCTATTACAGATTTTCTGGAGTGCTGATCAAAATGATTTATAATCTGAAAGTGTATTAGGACATTTTTACTGATCTGTTTCTTCCAAAGCTGTTGAACTGTGTCTTCCTCCCCCCCCCCAATGGCTTATTATCATAGCTTGATCAACAAGTTCAAAAATAAGCCTGCAATAATTTAGGTTAAGTTAGGTTTGTTGTTGTTTTAAGTCGTGTCCGACCCATTGCGGCCCCATGGACAACATTCCTCCAGGCCTTCCTGTCCTCTACCATCTTCTGGAGTCCATTTACGCTCACGCCTACTGCTTCGGTGACTCCATTCAGCCACCTCGTAAGTTAGATTAGTCATCATGTTTTCTACAAATACAGGTATCAACTTGACTATTACATCTTCCACAACAGAACAAGGAGTTTGAATGTTAGAGTTCACCTTTAATTATTCAACCGAAAGCCCCAACTTCATTAATCTGAGCAATTCTGCATAAAGATCTGATTAACTTTTATAGTTCATTTAGCAGTAAATATATAAAAGTAAATATATAATCAACAGAGATTCCTTTGACTAAAATCTGTTTGCTTTTCTTTTTTAGCATCACTGCTGGCTTTTGTATATAAGTGATCCCTAGCACTGAACTATTGGAATTGCCTAAGGCTGATTGTTTCGGGGGTGGAGAAGGGTGGAAGAATAATAGTGCTATGTCAGCAAAACACCTTAAATTGATTAATACTATGTTCTGTTTTATACCAGTGGCTTTGTTTTGCTTTTGGTACCTTTGAGTTATATTGACTTCTGGATGGCCTGACCAATTCCCTGCAGTTTTCTTGCCCCTGCCTGCTTCCTAAGGCTGAGAAGGAGTAACTGGTCCAAGGTCACTCAGCTGACTTTGTGCCTAAAGAGAGACAAGAACTCATGGTCTCCAGGTTGCCTGATAAACCAACAGTTCCTTTGGAAGCTGGAAATATGCATGATACAGTATTTGGGGATCAAATAATGTAACTGTCTGTTAAACCCTCGCTCTCTTGCTTCCATCTAAATATTTAAGTTTGGTATTTGTGGAACTTCTTTGCAGAGGACAGCTCAATATCAATGACTGCTTGAAAGTCATTTGTAAGGGAGGGAGGAAAGAGAATAATCAGTTTCATAAACAAATTCTTTCGCTTGGTGACAAGCGCATTCGAGATTCTGAGCACATTTTGCGGTAGAATAATTCACCCCAACTTTATTTACCCAATTTAGAGATTGCTCATCTAACTCACAGAGTGACTTTATCTTCCTGATGAATTGGATTTCAAGTTCCATAATCTCCAAACACCTGGCCAAAATCTGGGAATTACAAGAATTGAAGTTGAATATAGCAGGAGGATCAGGAAAGGCAGCTTCAGAAGATTAGTTAAGGAAACCACCTCAGAAGGACTAACATCAAAGCTATGGAAAGAGATCTAACCCTTAAACGATATATTCTCCCTCAAAATATTCTCTTCCCGTACTTGTTTAGCTCTCCCAATGAGGAATGTATCAAGTGCTTATGACTATATTATACAAATACAGAAATTTTGCAAGTTGTTTTACTGCAAATGCACATGACATTTTTACAAGTGCCAAAGTAATTACCAGAGAACATAGTAGCAATTTTCATTGAGCTCCACTTATAATTTGTTGAAAATTACATTATTAACTTGCTATCCTCTAAGTCTGGGAGCTACGGTTCCTGTAATCCCTTTCTACTGGTTATGCTGGTTGGCACTGATGGGAGCTGAAGTAAAAAACATGCCTCACGGGAGCCTTTGCTGGTTTTTAACTTCTCTCCACAAACTGAACAGGAAATTTTGAATCCAATCCATTGTAAATAAATACATCAATTATTTAAAAATAATAGCCAGATGCCCTATTTGTCTGTCTATCTGTCAAATATATATGGCCACCCTTCTCACTCTCAGTGAGTATGGCCAGCTCAAAATGACTTTATCTTTTACATGACACTCTTCAAACTATATTAAATGCATAGGAAATTAGTACTTGGACTCATTCAATATTTCATATTTGTGAAAGGACTAAATAGCTGCAACATATATGTCACATACAGAAATTCATATAATGGGGAGTATGAAAAAATTACTTTCATCCATGTTGTTCAACTAAATTGATCTTGGGGATTTGTCTGATAAAGTAAACATATCTAGTTTGTGTCTTCATAGCATTCTTAAAGTAGGCTACCATAGACTATGTTTTACCAGATGAGCTAATCAATTAATAATGTTTAAATTACAATATTTGATCAGAATACTTAATCACTACTTCATGGATTATTGCATTATAGCAGGGATAGGCAACCTTGGCTCTTTTATGACTCGTGGACTTCAACTCCTAGAATTCCTGAGCCTGGGAGTTGAAGTCCACAAGTCATAAAAGAGCCAAGGTTGCCTACCCCTGCACTATAGAATCATTGCTGCCAGTTGTATATATTGAATAAATTTGTGCACATCATGAGACCTTAGTATTTCTTTCTGGTGTGTTAAAGAATAAAAGAATATTATGATTGAATTTTTTCTCTCTCCTTGTCATCTGTGGATGCCCAGGTCATAAGGTGATCAATATTTTCTATAGATCAGTAGTCATTGCCAACTTGTAAAAGCCATTAACACAAAGCTATACACATTTTATACAGTGCAAAACTATTAAAATAAACCTGATTTACAATTCACGTCTTGGAATGTGTGCTCATAAATATGTCCATCTGTTCTTTTAGCTAAAAGGCATAATGAGGTAGAGGCAACAATAGGCTCCTTACTCTTCCTCCAATATTGAACATACATTCCAATAAACTAGTTTATGCACTTTTTAAAGCAAGATATTTCATGATTTTTTTCTTGAATCCATTAATGAATATCTTTTCAACTGAGACAGATGATCTGTTGACCTAGACATATTTCTCTGAAAAACCCTGAGACACCATCTTTTCAAAATTACCCCTAGATTGAATTTTGGATTTAAATTTTAATTAAAATGGAATTTTTAAATCCATGGAAAACCATCATACTAATGCTTGATTTAAGTTCAGTTGAAATCTAAGCCAATTCTAGTTTTTGTTCTGGCCTCATTTGTACCCAATGCACGAATATTTGCTGCCATTGGATATTGTAATCACTTAAATCACAAAAACTGTTGTTGTTTTTTAAAAAGGTACTGGACAAATCTCTGGAAGTGCTGTGCTAAGCGGACTGTGGACCTGACTCAGCAGGCTTCTTCTCATAATGGCACGTTTGTTCTCGCCCACATTCTGAATTGTAGCCCCTAGCAGATCACTTAGAGAGCAATAATGCCTCTCAGTCTGAACAAGCTACATGCTTTTTTAAAGCATACATATCAGGAATTTAAGAGATGCCTCATGAAAGGAAGGGGCAGTAAAGATAAGAGCTGACATACAGATAGTCCTCGCCTTACAACAGTTTGTTTGGTGATTGTTCGAAGTTACAACGGCACTGAAAAAAGTGATTTATGACTGTTTTTCATACTTAGGACCATTGCAACCTCCGCATGGTCCATGTGATCAAAATTCAAACACTTGGCAACTGACTCATATTATGACGGCTGCAGTGTCCTGGGATCATGTGAACAGCTTTTGAGACATTCTAATAAGCAAAGTCAATGGGAAAGCCAGATTCACTTAACAACTTAACAATTGTAATGATTCACTTAACAACAGTGGCTATAAAGGTTGTAAAATGGGGCAAAATTCACTTAACAAATGTCTCACTTAGCAACAGAAATTTTGGGCTCAATTGTGGTCATAAGTCGAGGACTACCTGTACCCTTAAGTTGAAGTTTGTAACATGTCAACATTTAATCAAATTATGGCAGAAGCATACATTAATTACTATCCTTCCTACTTGCCATAATCTAGTGCAGACATGTCAAATTTGCAACGTCACGTGACGTCACGCAACGTATCGGAGCTTTTTTGCCATTGCCGGCAATGGGGTGGGCGCGGCTCCGGTATGATGAAACCGGCCCGTGTGGACCGGCAGTGACACCCCTGATCTAGTGAGTAAAGTGGAAGAAAGGCAGAATTAAGGCCCAAGAGTAATTTTGCAGTTTTACATAATGCAGTTATGGAAACATTTAGCTAAAACCATAATGACTACTCACAAAGCACGTTTTCTTTAATCAAATACTACCTGTATCCCTGGCCTGGTTTTTCATCGAGCACTGGAAATATAATAGTTCCCAGATCTAAGCTTTTAAGAAATCAGTTCACCCCCAGTGTTTACATTTGAAATAGGAAGGTCTTTCATTGCTGATCTCTGTAGGAAAGATAAAAGTATAATTAGCTTTAGAATGGAGGCAATGGCTATAGCTTTTCCCATCAAGTCCTACTTTGTCTACCACAAACAAAGTTGTCTGTGTATTCCAAAGCTGTTGGCTGCGTCCTTATCTGTATTAATTGCTGAGAAGGGCAGACTTTTATTAACTAAAAATTAAAGCTTAAACTTGCCAATAGTGACTTCATCTTTTGAGATCACTCTGAATCACTGGCTTTGGTGCATGTTCAGTACAATTACTGGGCTTTGAGCAGTTTTTTTCCCTGGTTACTCGACAATGACTTGAACATTAAAGAATCCAGTTTTCCCACTGGTATACTATCTTCAGCCTTAGAAGATTTCTCTTCCTACCCCTCTCTCATTTAACATACAAATATAATTTTCTACCTATTTATGCTTTCGTAGCTCATTTCATTTTCAGTCAAAATGTCTGAAATAAACAAACTTTAATGGCCTACAAAAGATTCAGACACTACAAACCAGTGTGTATCAATCTGAGCTCCATAGCTGTTTAATTAGGAAAGTCTGGGCCAAAATCTGATATAAAATCTACTGAACTGGAGCAGAAAATAACCGAAGAAAGTTTGGCCCACAAATTTTTAACCTCTTTTATCCACTGTTATTTTTTTTTACAATATAAAACTCTATCTTTAGAAAGAAATATAATACAAAACTGATATTTTTTCACAAAAGTAGTTTCTTCTACAGTAATTAAAACAAATCTTAGGAGCTCAAGCTGCATGCCTCTTATGAAGCATAGCTTTTCCAAGAGAAGCTGGGGGATTAACATTTCGGCCCTCCCCACAAACCTGAAACCCTAGAAAAGGGGGGAAATTATTTTGTGGCTACTGACAAGGAAGTTGCAATTATAACTGAGCAGGTGAAATGCCTGTCAGCCAACAGTCCGACTGTATGATTCTTCTCTCCCAAAGTACAGACCCTCTGAGTATCAGGCAAATTCTTCAAAGGCTGATAACAGTATATTGTGTAATGTTAGCCCACTAGGCAGCTTTTTACTTTTTCCATTTACTTTACAAAATTTGTGTGTGGCTTCTAGATACAAACTTATCATTAATTGGCATTGCAAGTTTTTGTTTTTTTACCTATGTTAGGGGGGCACAATTAGGCACACCCAACTTTTTACTTCCTCGTTGTTTCTTGCTGGCAAGATAGTCAGCTATGTAGTAGGCCGGCATGCAAGGCACCCAAAGAGTGGGAAGCAGAATATGGGATGGGGGAGACCTGAGGCAAGTGGGCTTGTGCCTGCACTAGATCTCCCAAGATCTCCTTCACTCTTGAACTCCACTTAATGATCTTTGCATTTGTTTAACAAATGCACTGAAGAGAACAGAGATGGCTAGTCATTTCTTGAGGCAGTTTATTTAATGTTATCTGACCTTCAACCCTAATGGGCAGACTCCATTACAGTTGTAAATTGAGGACTACCTATAGTCACACTGCACAACAGTTTCATATTGCTTACAATTCAGTTTTCCCCCACATTTTCAAGAGGGTTCTTCCTCTTGCCTTTAATTTTAGTAATACTAAAGTTGTAATGCCTTCCCTGGATGCCAGCTCAGATGATGAAGAGGAGACAGCTCCAGGGACTTTAGAGTGGGGAGTGGAGGGAAGACACAGGGGACTCTGTACCATAAGTGGATGGGAAAGAGGATAAGGAGAGGTCAGGAACCTTGGATGAGCTGTCAGAGGAGCAACCAGATGAGCACCATGCTGAAGAGGGGAGAGAAGATATAGCTGCAGCCGAGAGTCTTGGATGACTAGCCAGAAGGGCATGGTGGAGAAGGGACACAGCTATAGTTGGCTAGTAGGATAAGGAGGAACTGCCTCCCCTGCCAGATCCCAGGATGCAAAGGGTCAAAACAAGGCACAACAGAGGTTGGCGAGGCTACTTGTGAGGAGGCAGCCTTGCTTCTCCTAATGAACTGCACCAGCTGGCAAGCTACTTAGCCCAGTGCATAGAGCAAAGTGACGCTGGAGACAACCGTCCATTTCCTGCCATGCATGTGCTCTTGACTTTGTAACTCCTGCTTTCATGATTCCGGACCTGTGCCTTGTTTGCTGATCTCATGATTGGACCTTGGATTTTGCACTTCTATTATAGACTTGTACTTTGGTTATCGTGCTTGAATTTTGGTCTTCACGTGTGGATTTGCGGACTTGTGCCTTGCCCTCGGACTTTGTATTTGCTTTTAACTTTGTGTCTTGTTTGTGCAAACGTGGATTTATTGGGATTTTATATTTCTCGTGAGAAGAACTTGTTGCAATGCCTCAATAAAGCATTTAAAACTCCAAGGTGCGTGCATGCATGGACTGGGACAGGTCAAAAGCAAAATCGTATATATCTGTCAAGTTTCATCTTGGTTCAATGTTTGAGCCTATCAAGATCTGATTTTGTCTTCCATGATGTTAGCTATCGTCCCTGGTTTTGTATTATCTATTAATTTAATAAATATCTCTTCACTGCCCACTCTGATGTCACTTATGAAACAGGGCTTAAGACAGAATCTTTGGATATTTTTCTCAAGACCTCTTTCTATTTTGATGCAGACATTAACACACTTGTACTGATCCAGCTAATAATACTATTTGTTAGTATTGTAACTAAAATATATCTAATCCATTTTAACATGGATATAATCAAATACACTGTGAAATTTCATCGGAAATAAGATATATCATGTCTATGATGCTCCCAAGAGCTACCGAACTACATTTTATGAAGCCAGAAGTTGTGTTCAATTTCCTGTCTCATTTGATTGCCATTGTAGTTGCTGAATTTAACAGTGGAGTAAAAAGTGCTGCCTTCTCTGCCTTTAGTGAGTATCTACAAAATAATTAGTTCACAAACAGTTCCCAACATGGAATATGTCAGAGTAATACTAGGGAGGAGAAAGAAAAGCTTAATTCCATTATTTTTGTGTCCAATATACAAAACAACACATGCAGTAATACAAAAACAACACATGAACAATCATTTTTATATTGCCAAAAATCTCCAGGAAAAAAGTCCATTAACTATAACCCTCTCAGAGTAAAAGATGGGAAAAATGAAGATAGTAAAGGCATACAGAGAGAGAGAGAGAGAGAGAGAGAGAGAGAGAGAGAGAGAGAGAGAGAGAGCATTAATTTTCCAGACAGCTAATTGTCTAATAGGAAAGATCATGCAGAGTCTAATAAAAGATCCTGCTTGGCATGGTAACATTGCTTAAATTTATGTTATGGTTAACAAGCTACTACCACACAAGGCAAATCAGCCTATAATCATTCACCAAATTCATAGTAGGGGCTCCAACTGATTAATGAGTGCCAAACAAATACAAGCATTAATTGGACCAGGAAAAAAGCAGGATGTGCACTGAGAATGAAAAGATGGGTGGGAACCCGTTTGAGATCTCCTTTCTCAGTCCTCCTTTGTAAAGTAATTCTATTAATGAACCAAGTGTTAGAAGAAAGCATCACGTAAGATGTTGTGGCTGCATTCACACAGAATGGCGAATCCTGGCTTAGCAGAAAGATGAGATCTTGACTTGCTGGCAAAATCGTTAGCATAATGATAATTTTTTAAAAAACTAACGTAAGAGGCTAAGCTAATGAGAAATGCAAACTTAATCATGATCCTGACTTATTTCCACCCAAATCTGGAACTATAAATCCAGGTTGGCAATTTGGACTTGTTCAAATTCAACAAACTAGGAATCATTCTCCAAGTTGTTGTGTTTTACAATATAATCCTGTTTAGCCATCCATGGTATGAAAAGAATGAAGGGGATTTTTAGGAGCACATTTCAAGGAAACAATGAACTCAGCAACCTTGGTTTATGGAGTCAGTAACATGGGGCAAAATATAAGATACATGTGTGTACAATTCAGCTTAAATATTTATCTCTGGATTTTATTGAAAAAAATCAAGACTGCATTTTAATACTCTAATTAAACTCAAATATTTTGGAATATGCTCATGTGCAGAGGAAGTGGTAATGAAAACTTTTTAACAATTCACCATTTTAGGCTACACTGCTAACCAGTCTCTAATAAAAACCATATCAATTGTAGTTTGCTAAAAAAGAAACAAACCATATTAATACAGAATTAAGATAAATATGATAGGTGATAAGAATGGATTCTGCATAGGAAGATGCCAGGACAACGTGCATAAGCTTGTGATCTCATGACATCTAAAACACATTACTGTCTATGAGATATAAACTTACTCATTATACATTCCACAGACAAAGGAGATTCCAGATCTATGGTGTGAAGGAGAACCAGCCATGTTTGATAAAAGGTAAGGTTTTGTAAAAGATTTTTTTTACAGTTCTTGATCCTGCAGTGGTCTCCGAGTTAATTCCATTCTATGCAACCCTATTCCTACTGTATACGGGATCAACTCCAATTCCAAAACTTTTGCAAGGTTGAGTCCCAAATTTCACTTACCCTATTCTCTCTCACATATATGCATTCTCTCTTCTGCAGCTCCCTATGCACTGCAGAGAAGTAGTCTACAGTGGAGATATTCCAGATGTTATTGATATTGATCAACTTTTATAATTTCTCTGAATCCACCAGAGGGAGCAAAGGAGTCTCCTAGTGAAGAAATAAAAAAAATGCAAAGAGGTTTTTCTTTCCTACCTTGGGGGGAGAGAATAAGCAAATGAAAATGCAGGACTTTTTCGGAAGGCACCAATGGTTTACTGCAGTGATAGGACTTTCTACCCACTTGTACAATTTTAGGCAGTTTATATTTCTACAATAAAGGGAATCAATATTGCATATTTCCAATCTTTTTATTTTTGGATCCAATTCAAAATCACAAAAAATAATAATTATAATCATAAAGCCATAAAGACACAGTGTCCAGATCACCTTCACAGAATCAGCACACAATTACAAACTTGTAAAAGCTGGTTCTAATGCTGTATTTTCTTACACTGCTGACAGGGCCAAACAAGTGGTGTGCTGTTGTTGTTTTTTTTAAAAAAAGTATGACCTGTTTCTACAGAGCTCTTAAAAAATTCTTTTAATATCCACATACAGACAAGCCTTTGGAACATAAACACATATAGTTGCATGATGGTTCTGCCTATCAAAAATATCAATGCCTCTGTCGAACAGTCAGGTGGAATGCTTAGCAAATACTCAAGTTGTCATAAATTAAATAGAAGCTTCGACCTGCACTAAACCTACCGGAGCATTTGACAACATGAATGTCAACACATACACCGAGAGTCATTTTCATACTTGATGTGTACTGCTGCAGAGACATTGATTTTAATCAATCATACATTCTATAAAGATATGTAAACAATTCAGGTACGGCATATTACAAAAAGAAGAGGAGGAAAAGGAACACCAACCACTACAGACAATTAAGATCTGAAATGGCCCAATGCTGCTTCGTTATTTCCTATTATCCCTGAGCATCTTAAAAATGACTCCCCTACATTAATCGGGGGGGGGGAAGAGGGGGAGAAGAAGCATAATCTTTGAAAGTTGGCAAGAGGACATCCTAATTGTAACTTGACATGCTATACGTTTGGCAAAATTGAAAGTGGCTAGAAATGTCTCCGCTGATTATGGGAAAAGTTATTCTCCTTCCCCCATCCCCTAGGTTGCATCAATCCTGTTCTTGCTGATATCCCATCAAAGTGATACTGTGCAGAACATGGACTCCCTGGACTGAAAGTGCCCCTTTATCTCAACTGGGTCCTGAAGTAAGTGCTAGGCGCACGTGCCCTTTAAAACTGCCCTTGAGGAATCTTTGGGCCGAGGCCTCTGAGGGGACCAGCATGCTCTACTTCCCCTAACTCAGTGTTTCTCAACCTTGACTATTTTAAGGCATGTGGACTTCAACTCCCAGAATTCCACAGCCAGCAATGCTGGCTGTGGAATTCTGGGAGTTGAAGTCCACATGCCTTAAAATTGTCAAGGTTGAGAAACACTGCCCTAACTGAACTTGCACCTGATGAATACTTTTGCATCTTCTTTTATTTTCCCTCCTCCCATTTTTAAAAGCCATTTCTCATAAAATCTCTTCTCAAAATTAAAAAAAAAATCACAAAGATTACTTCATCAGAGGCAATCACTATCAAACCTACAGATTACAAAAAGATTGCATAGGAATATCAATGGGCATAGGTGCACTGAACAGCAAGAAAATGCTCTTCTTTTGTTCTTCTCCATAACAGAATATGGCAACGATGACGGTATTTTTCTTTTTTCTTTAAAAAAAAAAGAGAATGATTTCAATTTATTTTCAAAGTTGTAGAAAATGGCAATGGTGGTCTATAAAAACAAAGTCTGTTCTTTAAAAGATGTATAATCTCAGGCATTGTACCAGTGACCCTGAGACCCTTCACAGTGCAGTGGAATTGTTTTTTTTTTGTTTATTTTTGAGACAGAAATTACAACTCATCTTTCTTCTTTCCTATTTTCTCGTGATCTCTCTCTCGGAGAGTTCGCATGTAAACCGAAAATCCAGATTCCTAGAATGTCAGACAAAAACAAGCAATTAGTTATATATTGTAACACAAGCGTAGAGATCTTTGCTTTGAACAGAGGACTCTTGCTCCTAGACAACATGTGATAATTTGTCCTTAAGTGGACCTCTCTCCTTAAGTAAATATCTCATTCACCACAGTTGCTCTAGATCAGGGGTAGGGAACGATGGCTCTTTTACGACTTATGGATTTTAACTCCCAGAATTCCTGAACCAGTCATGCTGGCTCAGGAATTCTGGGAGTTAAAGTCCACAAGTCATAAAACGGCCATCGTTCCCCACCTCTGCTCTAGATGGAGAGGCTCAAATTAGAAAGGAAGTTATTTGTCATGAAAAGAATACCCTGAGTTCCCTTCCCAGACTCACCCATATAACTCCCTCCAATTGTATTCTTTTATTTAGGGTAACATAATTTCCAATTCCCTATGTAAAATTTTATTATTAGTTCAATCATTCCATATACTGTATAACATTTTATGTATTACAATACATGAAGACTTAATTGTTAGAAAAAATAGCGAGAAACTACAAGAAAAACAAGCCCCTTAATAAAGATCTAATTGATCCAGTCTAAAAAGTGTTATTATCAAGATAAGTTTCTCTCTCTAGTGACAAATTGTCCTTATGAATGATCTTCTGTGTTATTAGCCTCTTGATTAGCATGACACAAAACAAATGATTTCAAGAAAGAAAAATGACATTTCCAAGATGTGTTATGCTGTGTTTAATTAAAAATCATTACAAAACTTTGGGAATCAGTGATATAAAAATGAAGGAGTGAATGAATGAATGAATGAATGAATGAATGAATGAATTTTGCTTTCTCTGTGGCAACTCAGCAGCAAGAATGATACCTACAATCAATAGGGTATTAGTTCAGTATCCTTAGATTTTTTCCAACAAACAGTGAGAGTTAAAGCTTAGCCACTGCAGATACCTTTAAATATTTTTCTTTAAATATTTCTGAGAGGTTTAGATTAGATCTGACAATTTATCCAAAGTGCTTGGACACACAATGCAATAGGAAGTGAACTACTTTACTTTGTCTGCTGCATCTGTCAATCTTAAATGAAAATGTTACGCATCACTAGTTATAAAATTTGAGACTCTAGTAAACACCCCGAAAAACCATTTTTTGATTAGAACTCTACCTGCTATTACAAACGTTATCCAAAATGTATTATCCAGCCCAGTGAAGCTGCTTATGATGCTTCTCTCGTCATTTTAACAAAACAGGCAATGCTTTACCTATGAAACCACTGAAAATAACACTCCTACAAATTAAATGAGCTTTTAAATGCATGTTGCAGATCCTGTCAGTCAAATTATGTTGACTGGCAGGGACTAGAAGATAGGCTACCTCTGCTATAGCCCCTGCCTGGTGGAATATTCTCTCCTCAGAGATTAAAATAACCTCAACCATGGTGGCTTTTCATAAGGCTTTAAAAACTTGGCTATGTACTTGGGCCTGGGGGTCAGAATGTGTTAAGGTTTTATTGTTGGGTGGTTAACTATTTATTTTTTGGATGTTTTTATTGTTGTATTGTTTTAATTGTTTTAGAATTGTAAGCCACCCAGTCACTTTGCTGAGACGGGCAGCTGCAGATATTTTGATGAATGAATGAATGAGTGAATGAATGACTCTTTTAAGATGTTCAATTCTGTCTTTCTTCATAGTAATTCATACTCTTCACCTATCTTTTTCCATACTCACTGCGGAGTAGCAAGATATCAAGATCTAAAGAACTATACAATACAATACACAGAAGATAGATATGGTGCAATGTTTATGGTCTGAAACTGCCAATAACACCATCAACCAGCTTTTGCCATCCTGTACAATGGATCAGTTAATACGTTTTGGGCTCCAATGCACAGACAACATTAGTTGATGGGATCCAGGAATAAGATGCTATTACAATACTGCTCTCTAAAACCCCCCCCCCCAAATTTGCAAGATCCCTAACCTGACCTTATTTACACGACTCTTTAAATGTATTTATAACTTTAACAGTAACAGTATTGCAAAGCTTGAGGATTTCTTCAATAAAAATAAAAGTGTAATAGAATGTTAAAGAGAGATTTCCAGAATTCTTGTCAACAAAGCTAACGGTGTTTAAAACAAGCTGCAAGTAAGAAGAGGTAAATATGCATGTTACTTTAAGCAAAGGTACACAGGTGACTCATTTAATAATAGCTTGCCAATAACAGTTTCTTCTAGCTCACATATTTTAGCTGTTTATGAGATAAATCTGCATCGGTCATTAAAGAAAAAAGAAGTAATGTAACAACTAATTATTTTTTTCAATGTACATGGAAAAAATACATTTTCCAAGCATGTTAAAAGAACATTAATTTGATAAATCATCATCAAACATGACATAAACAGAGGCCTAATGGCCCAGTGGCTAGAATGCAGCATTGCAAGCAAACTCTGCCCACAGCCTGAAGTTCGACCAAGTTCAATGGAGTTGACTTTGCTTTCAATCCTTCCAAGGTCAGTAAAATGAGGACCCTTACTATCGGGGGCAATGTGCTTACAGTGTAATTCGTCCAGAGAGTGTTGTAAAGTGCTATGAGGTGGTATATAAGCTATTGCTATTTATCGTTTTCACAAGCCATTTAATTTTTGTAACTGAATTGATAAAATCAGTAGTACTATGGCTTAAAAACAAATTAGTGCTCTTTATAATTGATGTGAGGATAGCTCATACTTAAAAGAACACTAACGGCAGTTACCAAAATGAGAAACAAAAAAGAAAAGCATCTTTCTCTTTGCACCCAAAAGTACCAGGAAGTCCTTGGTTACTTACAACAGTTTGTTTAGTGACTGTTCAAAGTTATAATGGCACTGAAAAAAGTGACTTATGACCATTTTTCACTTATGAAAGTTGCAGCATTCACGTAGTCATGTGATCAAAATTTGGATGCTTGGCAACTGGTTCATATTTATGACGGTTGCATTGTCCTGGGGTCATGTGAACAGCTTTTGCAACCTTCTAACAAGCAAAGTCAGATTCACTTAACAACTGTGTTACTAACTTAGCAATTGCAGTGATTCACTTAACAACTGTGGCTATAAAGGTTGTAAAATGGGGCAAAACTCACTTAACAAATGTCTCAGTTAGCAACAGAAATTTTGGTCTCAATTGTGGACATAAGTTGAGGACTACCTGTAAATCTTTGCAGGAATTTTTGTGTTGCAACTTTAACCTTTCTTCTAATAAATATTCCAATCAAATCTTCTCTAGATTAATTGTTTCAATTTTTAATTGAGTTTTTGAGTTTGGGGCTGATAAAAATCTCATTCTAAAAGCAAACTATTACACATGAAAAATTTATAACATATTATTATTCATTGAATATTAAATTGTTAAGGCCCTACTTCTATAGAATTCCCACATGATGTAACTGCAATAATATTAAAGGAAGTCCTTTAGGATATTTTGGAATGCCCTCTCATAATTTCAGTGTACCCAAAGGACAACTGAAAATCTAATGCAAAATGAGTTTTCAAACATCCTCTGGATGAGTTTATTTGCTACATTAGCTAGGATTGGATACAAAAATTTGAGGCTAATTTTCACTAATGCCAAACACACTCAGATATTTTAATAAGCAAGACTCACAATAAAAGGTTCCAAAATGATTTAATGCCAAATATACATAAGGAGACAGGATGATAACCAAATGTAGCCTTCTTTATGGAAGCATTAAATCCCCTTTGCTAAATGCTGTCCCACCCCATATATGCTTATTTACCATTTAAGTAGCTGGCTTTTGTTTTCCAGCATATACTTACCCCTCTGTCTCCACTGTATTTTTCTATAAATTTTCCATAATTATAATAGTTAAAGGTTGGATATCCATCCACTCCTTCCTGCTTACACAAGTCATGGTTTTGTTCTTTGGCACAATCCACTGCAGCATAGGCAATCTAGAGAGAGAAATTAAAAAAAAAAAAAAGACTGGATCAGTTAAATGGAGCTCAGGTGCTTTAAATGCTGAATGGCTATAATATAAAAAAAGATATGAGCTGGAAAACATTTCTAGTATCTAAACACAATTTCGCTTTAAAATATTAAGGTCCAATTTTGAAAAGGGTTGATCAAATTTATAACATTCTTGGACGTGAGAACCAGTTTGGTTAGTTGGCTAGGGCTCCAAGCTAGAAAGCGGGAAACAGTGTGTTCTATTCCCGCCTTAACTATGTAAGCCAGCTTGGGAACTTCAGACCAGTGACTCTTTCTCAGCCCAACTTGCTTCACAGAGTTTTGTGGGGAAAATAGGAGGAGAAGATGAATTGGATATGTTCATAACCTTTAGTTATTTATAGAAATAATAAAGGCAGGATACAATTAAATAAATTCCAGATTCCAGTAAGCACTTTGGGCAAAATCTAACACCTTTTCCCTCTCTCAAATACACTGATATAGATTCCTTGAAATTTTAGTTAGAATAACTGTATAAACACACGGAAAGCAATACCAGCACATTTGATAATACAATTAGGTAATTATAGCTTCTTACAATCTGTCTAATCAGATTCTCTTGGAACAGGTTTTGCAAATTCTAAGTGTTTTCTGTTTTATTCTTTTATGTATTATTATTATTATTTACAAACCCAGGGGTGTTCACTCACCTTCAGAGGCCAGAGAAAGAGTCAGGTCTTCAAGGCTTTTCAAAACAACAATAGGATGGAGGCCACCCAGATCTCAGAGGGAACCTCACTCCAGAAACCCAGAGTGCCCTAATCCTGCCAGACTGAAACAGCTGTGCAGATATTAAGAGAGATAGGCAATCCCTCAAGTAACGAGGCCCTATCCCATGAAGGGACTTACAGATAATGATCATCACCTTGAATTATATCTTGAAACAAACAAGAAACCAGTGTAGCTTGGGAAGCAGAGGTATTAAATAGACATACCAAGGCATATCCATCACTGTACATATTGCTGCATTCTGAATCAGTGAAAGAATCTGGGGAGTTTTCAAAAGCAGCCCATGTACAATATGTTGTAAGCAATCAAGCCATGAGGTAACTAGTATGTAGGACTGATTAACTGAAGAGCTTCCCAATGGATACATAATATGTTTTCCCAAAAATAACACCTGGTCTTTTTTTTTCTTTTTGCCTCCAAAAGAGGCACCAGGTCTTATTTTTTTGGGGGGGGTTTCCACTCACCTCTGGCACCGACAGCCCCACCTAGCTGGCTCATTTCTTCTGAAGCTGAAGGAGCAGCTTCATTCTGCAGCTGAGAATGGAGCTCTGGCCTGCATTTCCCAGTCAAAGGCCTTTCCAGAAGGCCACTGCAGCCGAGAATCGAGCTATGGATTCATAGCTTGGTCCTCGGCTGCAGAGGCCTTGCAGAACTAAGCTATGGATTGACTCCATTTCGCCTTTGACTGCGAAATGCAGGCCAGAGCTCCAGTCTCAGCTGCAGAATGAAGCTGTTCCTTCGGCCGCAGAAGAACTGGGCCAGGTGGGTGGGGGTATCAGTGCCAGAGGTGAGTGGAAAAGACACCCGCCCCCCGAAAATAAGACCTGATTGAATCCATAGCTCAGTTCTTGGCTGCATTTCTCTGACTGAGAAATGCAGGCCTGGGGACAGTGGAGAAGTGGGCTGGCAAGGAGAGGCCTGGCTATAAGGTAAGTGGGTGCAAGGTGTTTGTATTATTTGAAACTAAATATGTAATTTATAAAGGCTTACGCTTCTTCCACAAGTCTCACAAAAGAGTTCCTTATTCAAAGCAAGCTCAAGGTGTTACAAATTTGCTTACAAGTTATTTTCTCCATGATTCCCTTGAACTTTTATACTAACTATTCAGAATTTCCCAATATTATTAATGCATTGTACACCTACAAGAATATCCCAAGAAAATTCCTGTATAGTTTTACACTTGCTTAAATACAGACAATACTTTTAATTTTAATGTGATTGCTGGCTCGACTGAATGGAAAAGTTAATACAATCTGCTTATAATAACCTCATTTTGCCTTGTAGACTATCACAGATTTATGATGGTTAAATGCATTTTGGTACTCCTTTAACTTCCTGATAATAAATGGTCAATGTTAAACATACATCTATAACACAATTCTTACCAATTATCATTAGGAATGGGTATGCCATTTCTTACAGTTCTATTGATTTATTCAGTACTCCCTATAATTATTTCTTTGCTCTGACTGATGCTCTGAGTCCTACAACCACTTTTGAGAAATACAGGTCCCTCTTATTTCAGAGTCTCCTTATGTGGGCAGTTAGCAAGTGCTGGCTGCTTACCTGGCAATAGACTTGTGTTAATTTGTTGCTTGAGCAAATCTAATTCTTCCAACTGGCACAGGACAGTTATTTCACTTGTACTCTGCATGGATGTCCAGTGGCATTGAGCATTTTAACCATTAGATCCTGCATGCTTAACTAACACAACTCTTTCTCCATGATGAAACTGTGCAATCCTTGAATTAGAGAGCAACTGCAGAATTCATAGAATCCAACCAAGCAAAACTTTAATGCTAGGTTCCTTCTGTAAATCCCCCAGAATGAATCTGTAATCTTCCTGACACACTGGGTTTCCCCCTAACCTCATTTCATCTATCTCTGACTTCATATCTTGTATTTTCTTCTGTAGGTAATATATTTCCTTCTCCCTATTTTCAAAACGCCCTATTTGACCACTTATATTTGGACTTCATTTGTGCCACTGGGTCTCTGACTTTCCAACAATAATTGAGTAATTTCAGTTATGGACTGACATATAATTCTCTACAGATATTCCCAGTATTGATCTTTTCTGTGATGATCTCCTTGTGTAGTTTTTCTCCAGCCTTACATCAGGGGTGTCAAACTCGCAATGTCATGTGATGTGTCGTGACTTTTTTTTTTTTTCTATTGCTGGCAATGGAGTGGGCACGGTTTTGCCATGACGCATCTGTCCCACAGGCTGGCATTTTGACACCCCTGCCTTACATTCTCTGAAGGAGTAGCAGCAACACAAGAAGCTATGGAGACTCTCAAAGTTGAGTTCTCTCTGATATTGCCTTAATCTAATCTAATCTAATCTATCCATCCATGGCTTTTGCTGCTATACAAAATGAAATGAACTCAGTAGAAAAACTAGCATCTCAAGGTTATGATTTCTAGCCTAACTATCTGTCAGGGTGGTTTCTGAAATATTTTTGGAGGCAGTCTCCTAGAGGAGCATTTTCCAATGAAGATGAAGACAGAGTGCCCTGATTTATTTCACAATCAATCTGATGGGAGTCACAAAGTAGCTACCATAGGTACATCAAAGGGCAATAAAATTCCACTATCGAAAGCCGTTTAAGAAGTAGACATCACTGTAGTTTTAATCACACTAATTCATGGTATGTCCCAATGTTTAGGAAGAGTTATTTATATATAAAAGATAAACTGTTATCATTCAAACCAAGTTTAAGAAATATGTGGTCCTGAACTCAAAAGTAACTCGCAATTACTATCTTTCTTGACTGCCTCTCTCACTGGAAATGCCACAGGGAAGGTAGCTGCAAATTTAATTAACACAGTAGGAATAAGATATTGGAGGAATAGCTATGGTATGTTGAAGTTCTGCCTCATCTATTCTTGATATGAGCAGTGTACTTTTTTGCTTGTTTCTTTTCTATTTTTAAATAAGGCCATCAAATTCATTATAATACATATCCAATTTGTCAGGTCTTTTTTTTTTTTAAGATCTACATTATCCTATCAATAAGTATGCATTTCAAATGTGTAGAAGTATGCCTAAGAGCTACTGACTGAAAAAAAGACTACAGATTGAAAAACCTGTATTATTAAATATATAGAAGTTGGTTAACAACTTTCTACAATGGAGACAGTAATCTTTTATCCTCAACTAGAAGTTTGAAACATCTGAGAGCAAATTTGCCTGACACGGGCAATTGGAGACTAGTCACACTGAAACCGCTTTTTGATCCCTTGAGAGGAAAAGCAAACAAATGAACAAAAAATAATACTTCATTGGCAAATACTGTGTGCTTGCAATTTTAAACACCTGACAACAACCTTTACACTAATTTTAAAGGCCTTGGCAGGAGATTAGTTCAGACTCTGTATGAGTTATTGCTCTCTTCAACCATAGCTAGCCATGAGAGGGCAACATTTCACTTAGAAATCTCAAGAAATATGAAATTAACTTTAATTACTATAATGTATTTAATTACATAATATTTCTGACACACTGCATGAGTTCAACAGGCTAAAAGTGTTTTGCTGCTGTTTTTTATTGGTACTCAGTGTTCGATGCATCTCGCTGCAGTGTTCAATAATAGTCAGCCAGTATTGATGGATTCCAGTTGGCCTGATAGTTTTTCCATTGAGGCAATGTCCTGGTGAAACCTTTTGTGATGTGTGTCACTGACTGTACCTATATTTTTCAGGAAAGAAGTCCAAGTATGAATGCAGAAAATAAATCTTCAGTGATGTTGCATTTCAGGATCTTGTATTCTGTAAAAAGTTTCTCAATTAACTGAATAAAGCTGGTGCTCTGTAGTTGCCCAAAAAATTCTCAACCACATCGTTGAGTGCTTTCCAGACAATCTTCTCTGGCCCTACCAACAGATCTTTAAGCTGCTTGTCATTGATGACATATCTGATATGTGGACAAACAAAAATGCCTTTCTTAATCTTGGCATCAAGAAACATCTGCCTCAAATAAGAAACACCTTCATTTTCCTTGTTCATCACTTTAACAAAACTTTTTATCAATCTGAGTTTTATGTGAAGTGGAGGCAAAAATATCTTTGTCAGATCAACAAGTGGTTGATGTACCATGTTTTTCTGTCCTGGAACCAAATTCTTTCAGAGGGGCCATTTCTTTTTAATGTAATGTGATTCTTTTGGACAGCTGTCCTATTTGCATATGTAACAACAATACTTGGTACATCCCAGC